TTTTTTTTTTTTTTTTTTTTTTTGCTTTGTTGCATCAAACATGTATATCTGCTGACAGAATCGTACTACTGCTGCTGCATTATTTATTTTTATCGTTTTTATTGACGAATTACAAAAACTGTGACAAATAGCAGCAAGAAATTATTTCAATAATGGCTACTTAATTTTGCTAATAAAAATTAAGAATCTGTAAAGACATACTTATTTGTGCATCAGATAGTCATATTACGCTGTAACGCTGATGTATATTGATGTTTAATCTAAATGAAAGTTTGACGTAAAAGGCAGTGTCATTTTTAGCAAGAAGAAAAAATTAATAAATAATCAAGGAAGAAAAGAAGAAAAAAAACAGAATGATCCAGAAAAACTAATAATGGTTTTTGGTTTTGAACAAGAATCAAATGAATCATTAGAAGATCATAAACTCCAGCAACAGCAATAACTTTTGAAATATTTCTTATTTTTGTTGCTTCTATTGACTACTAAAAAAGTACAAATAGTTTTGTCTCTTTTATCTTTTTAACTTGAAATATATTTGTTGGTTGGACACGTGATCTCAGTTGTGCACAGTAGCACCCAGTATAGGTTTCAGTTACACCTCAAAAGCATTTGCAGAAATTTATTGCTTTGCTTCTGTTACTGTTATCTGTTTATTAAAAGGTAACACTGATTAAAAAAGCTCACTGAACAACAGACAAATTTTTTGAAGCGAAAAAGTTTACGCACATAATACAGTATTATCTAAAACAACCAAAATGTTAACAAAGAATTTGATTTCAGATTATTTGTATACAATAAAAGAATTAGGTGTTTTTTCACTGTAAAAAAGTTTTAAAAAAAATTTTTTTCAATTATTTAGTTTATACTAAACAATTATAAATGGTGTAATATAACTTTATCGCTAAGCTGAATAGTCACCAGCAATTAACTGGAAGACAGCATATTATTACCGCCATTTACGGTAGAGTGTAAAGCAAAAACAAAAAAAAAAAATTACACAGACCTATTGATGTAGAATTCTTTTTTTTTTGTTTTATATTCTTCACGTGATAACACTGTGAGAGGAAAATGCATCGATCTACTTTTAAAACTACTAATACGTAGGCAGTTTAACCACAGTGCAGTGATTATTCTAATTTTACAATTTCGCTGAGCACTGATAAAACATCTCAGTATAAATTTAATGGTTGCTCTAAACCAGATCAGTGCCGCTAAGCATCCTATTTTGCTGTCACCACCAACGAACGTCATTAACCTCTTTCCGAAACAGTAGCTAGTCACCCAGCCTCATCTGCTTTTCTTTCAAGTGTTTAGTTAAAAGCTGCGTAAAAATTTGTTGTTTAAAAAGTAATACAATTAAAAGAAGCTACACTTTATCTACAATTATTTTGGCTGCTATTAATTTTGTCAGCCATTATCTGCAAAGACCACTGAAAAACAGTCAAAAAAAGTGTAAATAAAATATATTCATTTCTTTAATGTTTGTCGTTTAAGAAATATTGTAAGTAAAATGTAAAAAATTTATAGCAAAAAATTTTAACTGTTACAAAATTTTTCTAACTGTTGCCATTTAAAAAACTAAATTTTTTTTGTGCTATAAAAAGGAATTAAAAAGAGAAGTAAAAAACGTTTAAAAGTTACGTCTTTTGTATTCTGCATTTTTCATTGATTCTAGAATAGTTTGCTGGTAATTAGTTTTTAGCTGCTTACATGACAACTTTTTTTTTTGTATTACAATGATTTTCGGTGATCAACCTTAACAGTTTTTTATTGTACCGTCAACTTAAAGGTAATAATGCTGTTCATACTGCTGCTGGCTGCACTATGTGCTACGGCACCTGCTGCAAAAGTTTACGACACCTATGACGATCCGCACACATGGGTAAATAGAACCGTTATGGTTCATCTTTTTGAATGGAAGTGGACAGATATCGCTAGAGAGTGTGAAGAGTTTCTGCAGTATTATGGATACGGTGCAGTTCAGGTACAATCAGTATGATACAATTAAATAGGTTGAATAAAGTAACACTGTAGCAAAAAACATTTTTTGTATCAAAAGTTTAAAGCTCTCAAATTCCAAAAAAAATTTTAGATTTCACCACCAATGGAACACTTGACACTAGTAAAAAATGGAGATCTTCCATGGTGGGTACGATATCAGCCGGTCAGTTACAAGCTGAATAGCAGGAGCGGTACAGAGGCAGAATTTGCTGATATGGTGAATAGATGCAACAAAGTTGGTGTTAGGTAAAAAAATTTTGTATTGAATTTAGGCAAATAACGATAATTCATAATGTTCAAAAATAAAAATTACTTTTACATCTTTAGAATCATTGTTGACACAATCATGAATCACATGACCGGAGTTAATCAGAGGAAAGGAGTTAATTCAGTTGGCAGTTCCGGTTCATCAGACTTTGATGCAACTGATGGTGTTGAATCATTCCCAGCAGTACCTTACACTAAAGACAATTTCAACGACGGCAAATGTCATCGTAACATCAACTCCAACGACTATAACTGCTGTGCAAACAATGTAAGCAATTAAAAAATTTTGTTTTTTTTTTTTCAGTTAAAAAATACACTAAGAAGCATGTTCAAGTAATTAGAGCTAACAGTGTTTCAGTACGACAAATTAGTTTATAGTTCTTTACATAATTTTGAAACTTGAAAGGTTTTACTATGATTTTCTAAAAATGTTATTAAATAAAACTGGAATAAATTCTGTAAAATTAATTCTAAAAGACGTCTTTCCACTGCGCAAAGACACTG